ACTCAAAACAATACCTGTACAGCATGGAGATTTAACTGAGGAGCTTCCACATTGCACTCATGCAGACAAGGACAATGTTTCAGCACAGTCTCTGTCCTCTGTAGAGCTCAGGAGTGAGGCTTTGAAACTGGGACACCGGGGATGCCGCCATCCCCTCCTGCTCCAGGCACCACAAGGAGCTCTGCTATATGACTGCACTGCAAAGTAGGTTGACCTTGGTTAAGTGGGTCCAGAAAATCTTCCCTGTTTTAGCAGAGTAACTGTCTTTCGTGTGTCCTCTAGCTGCAGCCTGCAATTTCCTGAGACACCCCTCGGTTCTTTGTTATATTAAATAATTGCATTACATTGGCTACTTTCCAGCATTTAGGGCTCACTGCTGGACTCCGTGAATATATAACATTGCCTGCCTGTCCCTGGTTCTTCGGAATTGCCAAATATACAGAACAAAACTAGTCAGTCCTTCCTCGTCACTAAAACAAACAAAACATGCACCTCACCATGGTTTGGAGCAAATGCTTGTCCTCTGTTCCCCCTGACTGCCGGGTGGGGAAGCTGTTAACACTGTCCTCACTGGGGACAAGGGTTTCAGTCGGCCCGAGTTGGCTGAACAGTGTCTGGCTCGTTCCTAAAGGGTGCAAGGAGTTGGAAAATAGGACTGACATTTGGCCCTAAGACCCTGGATGTGGGCTGCTTGGTCAAATCCTGCCTCTGCTGGCAGTGAGCAAGTCATAAGTTCATGGCAGAGTCTAGGTGAGTGGGAACACTTGTATGTCTCTAGTCCAACCTCCTGCTCAAATCAAGGCTAACTCCAAACTAGATCAGGTTCCTCAGGGCTGTGTCCAGCTCGAGTCTGCATATTTCCCACACTGGAGTCTTCGCAGCCTCTCTGGGCCCTCCAGTACCCTGGGGAAGAATATTTTTCCTTGCGTCCAGTCAGGGCTTCCCTTTGCTGCAGCTTGCGCCCATTGCCTTTCACTGTGCACCTCTGGGAAGAATCTGGACTCCATCTGCTTTACAGCCCCCTTGAGGCAATTAAAAGCTGCAAGACGATTTCCCCCTTCACCTTTTTTTCTCAGTACTGAGCAAGCCCCACACCCTTAACCCCTTCCCATATGCACATCCATGAATGCATGTGCACATTAGCCCTGAGAGCAAGCCCCCCATGAGGCTGCTTTCCTAAACCATCGTCAGGCCTCCACCCACAGCAAATCCAAGGTTTGCCTGACATGCCAGCTCACCACAGGGTAGTTTCCTCATCAACAAGGCAATGTTATTGTTCCTCTGCAAGCTCCCCACTGGACAGGCTCAACACCCAGTCACATGAAGCCATCAGCAGACTGTCTTGGCCTGCAACCCAAGCCCGTGGCCCCCCTGCTTTAGGAACAAGAAACAGCAAAGACGTGCTTTGCTTGTTTCTTCAGAGCTGAGCATTAAAACTCATTTACCCTCCTTGCAGCTCTCATCAAGCCAGAATGACATCTCCAGAGCAAAGCTCAGAGAATAGTTGCAGGGCAAAAGTAAGTATTTTCCCTGTCTTCCCTCCAGCAGCCAAATCTGCCAAGCCCAAGAACCAAAGCTGAGTGCCACCTCTGCCATTAGTGATCGCCATGATCCTGGCCACTGGTGTCCAGCAAAGAATACTGCCCTGGTGCCTTGCACGAGGAGCTGGCACCACAGCCACCCCAGAGCAGAGCGGGCAGCGCGTGAAAGTTAACAGAGCCTGAGGCGGCACCCACTTCCCATGGGATCCCCAAGGGAGAAGGTGTGGATGGGCAGGGAGGTCCCAGTGGGTTGCCTTCTTTAGCTGTGCCCCAGTCTCGGGGTCGAAGGCCGGAGCAAGGTGCCCCCGCGGCAGCGCAGGAGTGGGATTCCCACCCGAAGCTGTGCGTGGGGGAGGGAGGGGAGGCAGGTCCCGCAGCCTGCGCTGCCTTTGTGTGACCATGCTCGCCCTTCCAGTGCTCCTCCACATGGAGCGGCACAACTGTGCAGAGGATCGCTGGTTAAAAAGACCAACCAAATATCCCGAGCATCAGCATGCAAACGGTAAAGCATTTACAGCCTAGCCTTGATGCACAGCAGTTACTATTTGTTTGGCTTTCTGTCCCATTCTGCTTCTGAAATCATGACATGGGTAACAGTGCAGTGCAGGGGAAGCCATGTGCACTTTTGCTGCTTCAGTTGTTAAACATCCACAATTTTCCTAAATAAATGCTTGGGATATTCCTGATGACTGTCTCCTGCCGGCTGAGATTGCTGGCTGTTTTAAACATCCCACTTGGAGAACAACCCCCAGTCCTCTAAAGAGAGCAAAAAATCAGTGATTTACTCTCACGCTTTGTCTCCAGCTAACTCTAACGCAGTTGTCATTCAAATACTTCAATTCAGCATGATACTTCAATTTAGCTCTTGAATGGTAAGAGCAAAAAAGGTCTTTTTAACCTGGTGTTTTAGACACCTTACTATAAATGCAGCTTCACAAGATTCTCCAGCACGCTAAGAAGCTAGATCTCCATACACAGTCTTAGAAGAAATCAGCTGGAAATAACTGTGGGCACTGAAGATGCAAAATACTTTAAATACCATTTTATGTGCTTGCACATGCAACATTAAATAGCTACGCCTCTAGCTTTTTCCAATAATATGAAAAATGGTATTATTAATCCCGCTCTTCATCCCATGCCGAGTACATTTTAAACTTACCCCAGGCTAGTTGAAGATCCTTCAGCACTGGCGGTTGCCAGAGTTGGGAATTAGCACTGTGCAGGAACGGAGAGAGAGAGGAGAGCAATGGTGGCTTGACGTTTCCCAGGATGGGACTGTCACATGCTAATCACTGATTTGAAACGCAAGCATAACAAATGCCTTCTAATTATGTAATCTTCAGGTCACATCCTTGCATCCCCATGCAAAAACCAGGACTGTGCGCTTGGCAGAAGTTGATACCGACTTTTTTCCTTTTTAATTAGAATTGCACGCTGCTGCGAAGGGAGGGCGAGAAGCCTTGTGAAGTGACGGGCGGAGGGGGCCGTGTGGTGAGAGCCGGCTGCTGATGTGGTCCCTGCTACTTCGCTGAGCTCGGAGGCTCTTAAGTACCTCCTGCAGCACCCGAGCGAGGCGGCCTGCAGCTGGGGACAGGGAGACGGGACCAGCTCCTCCCCGCTTTCTCTGACACCCTCAGTCTCCTGCCGTGCGTGGCCTCACGAGGGATGCCAGGGCCAAGAGGGCTCCCCTTCCTTCATTCTGGGCCCAAGAGCAAGGTTGCCAAACTAGCCAGGGCAGGGGAGCAGCCACCACCAGCACTTGGGTGTTTTGTTGCTTGTTAGATCATGAAAAATTTCCTTTGAGTAAAAATAAATAAGGGCTTCGAGGGAGGTGGGAGAGTGGGAGGCAGCAGCCCTCCACGCCTGCTCCATTTCTTCACTGAGGTCCTGCAGGGCTTTTTGCTCCAAAGGGCATCAAGAAAGTCTGGGGAGAATGCAGGTAGCCCAAGGCCAGGGGTGTCAGGAAAAGGTTTGAGCCACTCTAGTGAGTTACTCCGAAGCGTAAGAGCAGGGAGACATAAAGGAGGAGGAACAGTAACAAAAGGCAGACTAATTTCTGAAACCTGCAAGACAAAGATCTGCTTCAAAGATACCCTTCAGGCAGAAAACCTGAAATGTAAAACCACACAGTATAATTGCTGTGCAGCACAGATAAATGTGGTGATGTGGAGTCGTAGTAAAGGAGCTGAAAGGACAGGCTCGTAGATTAACAGAAGCTCTGTGCGAGATGCTGCTACCTCTGAAGTCAAGGACTAGGGACAGAAGACGCTGTATTTCTTTTTTGGAGCTGGCTATTTATCTGGCTATATAGGAGAAAAAAACAACAAAATTGAACAAAATGAAATAATTCTGAAGGAGTTTGCTGGAAAGCGCATTTTTGGTGCGTCAAAGATACCTGGGGATTCAACAAACAGCTCAAGCTAGGAAAGATTTTTTTTTTTATTAATAAAAAGAAAAACATTTAGCTTCATGAATCTACGAACTAAACATTTCAAATAGAGATTTTCCTACAGACAACTTAAAGAAAAAGGGCTGAAAGGTATTACATTGCCAAATGATCCATGAGCTGCTTTGTTTCAGATGGCCCAGTATGTTTCAGTCTGCTGATAATGTGCTGCATTTTGCTAAGAAACCACAGGGCCCAAGATTTTTACGAATCCTAGCAAAACAAACTGAGTGTTTGAAGGCACATCTGAAGAACAGCATTTGTACATTGTGTCTGCAAATATGGAGGCAAGGACAGGTATTTACTAAAACTCCATTAAATACCTGGCAAGCAAAGACTCAACACACATTTTTTCCTGACAGCACTGGTACGTTGTGTTGTTTGTTTGTTTGTTTTTTTTTTAAACTAGAAAGCAGTTTTTCTGCTTTGTAAAGCCAAGTATTTAGATTCATAGTGCAGAGACCTTTGATGACCAAATGCCAACAAAATTAGAAATAGATTTTTCATTGCATTAGACTTCCTGATAGGAGAGTGGCAACGTCTCCCTTGTGCGCTCTCCTGTCTACTTCCCTTCCCAGAGAAGAGCAGTTTGGTGCATGGCGGAGGGCTGTCCTTGAGCAGCCTGGCACCGAGCCTGGGGTTTATGGCCTTGACCTGTGAGGATGTAACTACCACGTTACAGCTGCACTTGCTCTCTGCCCTGACCCCACTATGCAACACCTGGCTTAGGGTAAACGTGATCATAGGAGCACTGTGTTTGCAAAAGCTTCTGTGGGTGGCAAGGTTTGTTTTCTGGGGAAAGTTACAAGAGTTAAGCATAAATTAGGCTTCATTTGTTGATGACAGGTTTTTTCGAAACTCAGGGAGAAAGATATTCCTAGGGCAAGTTAAAATAAAAGAATTCTAGTCATCCACTGCTCCACTTATAAATTCACCCTATCCAACTTCATTTCTTCAAGGTTTTCACTTAGGAGACTTCAGGTGATCAGTGTGAAAAGAAAAATAACTCAATTTTAACATGCATCCTCAGGGGTTATTTTTAATAAATACATGAAGAAATCAATGATGCCTGTTGAAAACTGGTCACAGATGTTGAACCCAGAATGCAACCAGAGAGCTGCCTTTAACCTGTGCCAAATAGCTACGTTTTCAACTTCTGCTTCAGTCCCACTGCTGCCGAGACATGAAATGTGCCACTCCGCTCCATTTTCATCTATAACATCTCCTTCACCTTCCATCCTGTAATGACACACATCCAACCTAAGAACGCAATCAGTTTGTGGCAGCACGGTGACGTGTGCACTACCCAGACAAATTGCCAGGGATCGGAACCTTCCCAGTGTAGTGTAAGTACCTGCCTTAACTTTCTCCCGCATGTAAAAGTTTTGTAAAAAGTAAAAAAAAGCCTGTAAAATTTTTGACCTACAAAGCACACAGGTTAGACAGCCAAGGAACATATTCCTTTCTTTGCAAAACGGTACTTATACTAACATCCTCCCAGCATGTAGCCTCTACAGGAAAACCTTCATAGTCCCAGTCATGATTTGAAGTTACCAGGCATTGTCCTATGAAGTTTAGCCTGACTTTCATTAGGGACATCTTAAAGATGTGTAAGTGTATGCAGCCAGTTGCTCTGTGATCTTGCTGTAAAAACCCATCCTCTCCTGCCCTTTCCCCATCCTGCTACATGCTGTTATGACAAAAGTGCAAGGATTTACAGCCTCCTGCGGGAAAAAAAAGTAACTGCCATGTGAATTCAGTCCTCATAAGCCACGTATTTCTGCTGATTTTTGAAAGCTGTGATCAAGCTCTTCATTATACTTGAAAACTGCTATAAAAAAGAAATGTCTATGCATCAGCATCCCTTGCAAATGAGAGGAAAATAACTTTTAAAAGCAATTGCTGGAGATTCGTTTCCCTTACAAAATGAAGCCACCTAGCAGTCACAGCAAGTTGCTATGGTGCTGCCTATTTATGTTCTCTCATGAAAGCCGCAGTGATCTGGTGAACTGACACCTATCTCGTGTGCGTAGGTGGAAGCTGGCAATCCTGAAACTTGGCAAAATAGCCTGCCTTGGGCTGCCAGGGAGTGGCGTGTATTAACAGTCACAAACCAGTGTCAAAAAGGAGAAGTCTTCATTCCCTGGTGAAAACGGCAGTGGCTGGCAAAGATTGGATCTTTGCATTTTAGTTAGTTGAAATCACAAGTTCAAATCAGAACCAGCTGGTTTTCTCTACAGACCAGGTACTAGTGACAGGCACTGCGCTGGCCCCTTTGTGATGGACTATATTTTCACAAGAGAGTAGAGGCATCACCCTAAGGTTGTCGAGAGAAAATGCCTGTAAAGCTACACACGTGATCTACTGCTGAATGCCCTCACTGAAATGATGAGTACTCACAGGTTTAGACTTCATGAAGAATTCACGTCTGTCCTTTCATATGACAGCAAAAGACAGAAGCTCTGTAGGAGCTTTTAACATGTCACTGTAACAGAGGTGTAACTTAACTCAATCTATTCTAAAGCATTGAAATAAATGTCTTTAATTTTTCCCCAAATGTTTGAGTTTGTCATACAGATTCCCATTTTGTATCCGGGTACATTCTGGAACACGTATTTCATTTGGTGTCTGATCATTTAAAAACAGAATTGGTCATCATTCTAGTACTACTGTTGCTATTATTTTTGGTCAGCAGGGCAAGACAGCTTTTTTTCTGATGAAAGACCATATATTAACAAACATAGATTTATTTCAGATACTGGACTGGGGAGGTACTTAAAGAAAAATTAAACCGAAATCAGACTTAGCAAATTTGACAGGGAAGTCATTTAAGGAGAATAAACATGAATGTTCTCATGTCATTTTTTAAGGTTAATTTTCTTATTAAATCTGCTTTGTGGATTACGAAGTGGGTATCAACTTCTTGTTTTAGAAAAAGGTGGTATCTTAGCAATTCAAAACACACACCCTTATTCAAAAGAAATTAACTTGGCTGATGTTTATATGAGTGGCACTAAAATATTTTATTCTGAGTGATGAAAATAAACCTCCACGTTTTCCCATCTCTCTGAAATGTGTACCTCAAAAAATAAGTAAACACAAACTCTGCAAACTATCAGCGCTGTATTTCTGCATGCATCTGTAGGCAGACAGCTTGAAACAACAGCTCTGAAAGGGGTCTGAACTGTTCTTTTTCTCTGAACTCTGCCTAAGCCCAGAGACTTGGTAAGAAAAAGCGGGTGGGTGGAATAACCATCTTGAAAACTTCCGACTGGGAATGAATCACAGACTGTTGACTGATCTCGCGAAAAGGATACCACTGGGATCAGCAATCTCAGATACCCAGTGCAAGTTCCACTGGTAGCAAAAGAAACCTACTCCCATGCTGGGTGAATTTTATTTGGATTTTACAGCTTATGAAATCAAAACTAACAGAAAAGACTACACGACTCTTCCCCTTCAAGCATACTTGTTTTCATTGAATGGTTCAATGTTCTTTGCTCCGTTTGGAAATGTGTAGGTTCCAGCCCCATGACACATGTTGTCTTTGAACTCGCCTTCATAAACTGCCCCAGAAGGATGTTCTAGCCTTCCAGTACCATTCATCTGCATTTAATGAGAAACGAAGGATAAAGAAAATGGTTAATGTTTATGCTTACAGTATTATTTCCTTTCATTACAATATCCTTTCAGATTGCTGCCTTTGAGTCTGCCATCATATTCAGCTATGATAATGCAGAGGAAAGTGACTGTTCTTTCAGATTTAGACAGGTTTCTGCTTTTACAAGGATTTCAGGTAAGAGCTTAGAAGTGTTTGGCCAGCCACAGTGTCCAATAAACCCCTCCTCTGCTGGTAGTCTCACAGGATCTTAACAATCTATGCAGCACGGAACTGCTCTCCCCAGCCCTGCAAATAACTCATCTACCCTGACAGCCTGAGAAATTTTCTGGAATTTATTTCTGTGGATCAAGGCAGAGCAAGTCTTTAATTTGTTCAGCCTAGGCCACTAAGCCAGGCCTGGAGATTTAAATCTGTGCTGTAAAGCACTTCTGTGGCATAATCTTAACTCTTATCATTGCACCAATATTTTTGTAAGAGACTGAAAAAAAGGCCAGACCAGATCTAATAAAGCCACAAGATGCTGTTTCCTAATTGCAAATTCCTTATTTGTCTAGTTTCAAGGACTGTCTCCTCTCCAGCATCAACAAAATAAGCAATTTTCCTGTACTTACTAATTCAGCCCTGGGGAACTCAGTAGCCAAGGGCAGCCAAACAATGGTGTACGTGTCGATGGCCAGAGCTCCCCTGGTTCACTGTGGGATGCGTGTGTGGTGTGGGATACATGCGCAGGAGGGCTGTGCCCATCCCTATGGCACAGCCCATTCATGCAGGGTTTTCATGGTGGCTGGGCCGCGCTGGGCAGCACCGGTGCCACACTGCGCAGGTGTTTCACCAGGGCCTGCCTGCCAGCAAGGACCAGTGTGTTTGCAGGAGCCTCAGGAGGCAGAAGGACATCCAAGGACCCCAAGTGTCTCAGATCTTCAGACTGGGCTGTTGACAAGATTCCCAGGTGGAAGAAGAGCCTGCAGCGTTGGTCTGATCCTTCTCAGGTTATGACTTTCCTTTCTGTGCCTTTTTAAGGGTGGATATAGCGAGACACACTCCATTCCAAATCCACAGGAAGCTTAAAATGAAGGAATACTTAAAATTACCTTGTCATTTTTCCAGCTGCTGACGTACATAGTTCTGTTGGCACCGGTGTGGACTCCATAACCACTCCTCTCAAGCACACCCTCAGGTGTCCTTTTGCACTCCCCCTTTAGAAAATGAGAGTGGTGGAAGGCAGGTATTTTCACTTCAAGACAGAGAGCATCTGAGAGGCAAAAACCTATGAGATCGTGCCATGCATTTCTTCTGTTGCACAGAGCTGTTTCTCCCAGAGCTGACTCTCCATCTGCTGTGAACAGGCTGCTCCCTGAGATGGGCCCTTGGAGCACGCGAGCCCCGCTGGAGCAGGCGCCTTTGGGTGCCATGCACAGAGTGCGGCCAGCCGCAGTCCTGTTACCCGTTCTTCCACCACCACCGAGCCCCACTGTGGGGGTGGTGGGGAGCTGCCGTGGGGCAGAGCAGGCCCCAATGGACCATCAGGGGGGTGGCTGTGGCTCTCTGCAGGAGGACCCTGAGGAAACACCCCCACAGCAGCTTCTGTGTGTCTGGGAGGTGTTCTTACACAGCCAAAGCAGCGTGTTACTTGGGTAATAGCCCATTTTTGCTGGTATAATTTTTTGCTTTAAACTCCAACCTGGCACAGTTTGCCCGGAGGGCTTGTGGAGTCTGTCCGTGGAGATATTCAAGACCCGATGGATGTGATCCAGGGCAGCCGTCATGGGTGACCCTGCGTGCGCAGGGGGCCGGGGATCTCCGGAGGGGCCTCCCCACCTCCGCCGCGCAGCTTCGGGGTCACTTCTCACTTAACGTAACCCTCGCCCTGAGACTGGCACGGGTTTCCTCCGTTTTAATCCCATACACTCAGTTTTGCAAAAGGAATTAGCACCTACCGAGATTTTCTTACCATAGTTGTCCTTATTTGGCAACGTGAAAGACACTTTAAAAGCCGCAGCATCTGTTGAGAAAGAAACAACCAGTGTCACTGTTGCAACTGCTGGCTGAAATTCGAATATATGTACACAAATATATATTCAAATACACAGCAGCTTGAAACGGCACGTAATTATCAGTGTGCTGCTTGAGGGTGCGATTCTTCATCGGGGAGCGCTCGGTCCTCTCGGCGGGGCACCGTGTGAGGGGCGCGGGGAGACAGCGCTGCCGCCATGCTTGCCAGGCGGGAGGGTCCGCCGTTGCTAGGGGGGGCGGCGGG